AGTCGCTGTCAGCCGATACTTCTAAAAATTGAAATTCTTAAACCCTTGCTGTGTACCTATGTTTGTCCTCTAAAGCTGCGTGCCTTTCTTTGTTTGCTGAAATCCATAATTTTTATACAACTTTCGAAAAATACAACCCCCGACTGTTTTGTGAAATACAACCACTCCGCCCACAGCCGTTGAAACCCAACTCCACCGAGATGTACAGTCTTGGTCAAAAGTTTTCAGAATGAAGTCTGCTGCCTAAGTTTTTATGATGGCAATTTGCATATACTCCAGAATGTTATGAAGAGTGATCAGATGAATTGCAATTAATTGCAAAGTTCCTCTTTGCCATGAAAATGAACTTAATCCCCCAAAAACATTTCCACTGCATTTCAGCCAAGCCACAAAAGGACCAGCAGACATCATGTCAGTGATTCTCTCGTTAACACAGGTGAGAGTGTTGACGAGGACAAGGCTGGAGATCCCTCTGTCATGCTGATTGAGTTAGAATAACAGACTGGAAGCTTTAAAAGGAGGGTGGTGCTTGAAATCATTGTTCTTCTTCTGTTAACATGGTTACCTGCAAGGAAACACGTGCCTTCATCATTGCTTTGCGCAAAAAGGGCTTCACAGGCAAGGATATTGCTGCTAGTAAGATTGCACCTAAATCAACCATTTATCGGATCATCAAGAACTTCAAGGAGAGAGGTTCAATTGTTGTGAAGAAGGCTTCAGGGCGCCCAAGAAAGACCAGCAAGCGTCAGGACCGTCTCCTAAAGTTGATTCAGCTGCGGGATCGGGGCACCACTAGTGCAGAGCTTGCTCAGGAATGGCAGCAGGCAGGTGTGAGTGCATCTGCAAGCACAGTGAGGCAAAGACTTTTGGAGGATGGCCTGGTGTCAAGAAGGGCAGCGAGGAAGCCACTTCTCTCCAGGAAAAACATCAGGGACAGACTGATATTCTGCAAAAGGTACAGGGATTGGACTGCTGAGGACTAGGGTAAAGTCATTTTCTCTGATGAATCCCCTTTCCGATTGTTTGGGGCATCTGGAAAAAAGCTTGTCCAGAGAAGACAAGGTGAGCACTACAATCAGTCCTGTGTCATGCCAACAGTAAAGCATCCTGAGACCATTCATGTGTGAGGTTGCTTCTCAGCCAAGGGAGTGGGGGCTCACTCACAATTTTGCCTAAGAACACAGCCATGAATAAAGAATGGTACCAACACATCCTCCGAGAGCAACTTCTCCCAACCATCCAAAAACAGTTTGGTGACTAACAATGCCTTTTCCAGCATGATGGATCACCTTGCCATAAGGCAAAAGTGATAACTAAGTGGCTCGGGGAACAAAGCATCGAAATGTTGGGTCAATGGCCAGGAAACCCCCCAGACCTTAATCCCATTGAGAACTTGTGGTCAACCCTCAAGAGGCGGGTGGACAAACAAACCCCACAAATTCTGACAAACTCCAAGCATTGATTATGCAAGAATGGGCTGCCATCAGTCAGGATGTGGCCCAGAAGTTAATTGACAGCATGCCAGGGCGGATTGCAGAGATCTTGAAAAAGAAGGGTCAACACTGCAAATATTGACTCTTTGCATAAACTTAATGTAATTGTCAATAAAAGCCTTTGACACTTATGGAACGCTTGTAATTATACTTCAGTAGACCATAGTAACATCTGACAAAAATATCTCATAACACTGAAGCAGCAAACTTTGTGAAGACCAATACTTGTGTCATTCTCAAAACTTTTGACCATGACTGTACATATCATGGAGTTGAGAAACCCAGCTAATGAAGTCTTTTTTTGAACAGGAAATTGTTTCAAGATAAAAAGCAGAACAAGAAACGCAACAAAAAAAAAGACAGCTTTAGTCTTGTAATTATCAAATCAAGTTGTATTTGTCACATGCGCCGTGTACAACAGGTGTAGACCATATCTTGAAATGCTTACAAGCCCTTAACCAGCAATGCAGTTTTAAGAAAATAAAGTTTAAAAAAATATTTACTAAATAAACTAAAGTAAAAAATATAAAAATAAGTAACTATAAGATAACAATAACGAGACTATATACAGGGGGGTACCGGTACCGAGTCAATGTGCGGGGGTACAGGTTAGTCGAGGTAATTTGTACATGTAGGCAGGGGTAAAGTTACTATACATAGATAATAAACAGCTAGTAGCAGCAGTGTAAAAACAAAGGGGGGGGAAGGGGGGTGTCAATGCAAATAGTCCGGGTGGCTACAGTGCCTTGCAAAAGTATTCATCCCCCTTGGCGTTTTTCCTATTTTGTTGCATTACAACCTGTAATTTAAATGGATTTTTATTTGGATTTCATGTAATGGACATACACAAAATAGTCCAAATTGGTGAAGTGGAATTAAAAAAATTCTAAAAAATAAATAACGGAAAAGTGGTGCGTGCATATGTATTCACCCCCTTTGCTATTAAGCCCTTAAATAAGTAACCAATTACCTTCAGAAGTCACCTGTGTGCAATCAAAGTGTCACATGATCTGTCACATGATCGCAGTATATATACACCTGTTCTGAAAGGCCCCAGAGTCTGCAACACCACCAAGCAAGCGGCACCATGAAGACCAAGGAGCTCTCCAAACAGGTCAGGAACAAAGTTGTGGAGAAGTACAGATCAGGGATGGGTTATAAAAAAAATATCAGAAACTTTGAACATCCCACGGAGCACCATTAAACCCATTATTAAAAAATGGAAAGAATATGGCACCACAACAAACCAGCCAAGGGAGGGCTGCCCACCAAAACTCACAGACCAGGCAAGGAGGGCATTAATCAGAGAGGCAACAAAGAGACCAAAGATAACCCTGAAGGAGATGCAAAGCTCCACAGCGGAGATTGGAGTATTTGTCCATAGGACCACTTTAAGCCATACACTCCACAGAGCTGGGCTTTACGGAAGAGTTGCCAGAAAAAAGCCATTGCTTAAAGAAAAAAATAAGCAAAAAGGCATGTGGGAGACTCCCCAAAACATATGGAAGAAGGTACTCTGGTCAGATGAGACTAAAATTGAGCTTTTTGGCCATCAAGGAAAACGCTATGTCTGGCGCAAACCCAACACCTCTCATCACCCCGAGAACACCATCCCCACAGTGAAGCATGGTGGTGGCAGCATCATGCTGTGGGGATGTTTTTCATCGGCAGGGACTGGGAAACTGGTCAGAATAGTTATGCACACTCAAGTTTTGTTGTTTGTTTCACAAGAAAATATATTTAGCATCTTCAAAGTGGTAGGCATGTTGTGTAAATCAATACACCACCATACATACCACCAAAACATCAATTTTAATTCCAGGTTGTAAGGCAACAAAATAGGAAAAATGCCAAGGGGGTGAATACTTTCGCAAGCCACTGTATTTGATTAATTGTTCAGCAGTCTTATGGCTTGTGGGTAGCCTTTTGGACCTAGACTTGGCACTCTGGTACCGCTTGCCATTCGGTAGCAGAGAGAACAGTCTATGACTTGGGTGACTGGAGTCTTTTACAATTTTTTGGGCCTGCCTCCGACACCGCCTAGTATATAGGTCCTGGATGGCAGGAAGCTTGGCCCCAGTGATGTACTGGTCCATTCACACCACCTTTGTAGCGTCTTACGTTCGGATGCCGAGCAGTTGCCATACCAGGCCAGGATGCTCTCGATGGTGCAGCTGTATAACATTTTGAGGATCTGGGGACCCATGCCAAATCTTTTCAGTCTCCTGAGGGGGAAGAGGCGTTGTCGTGCCCTCTACACGACTGTCTTGGTGTGTTTGGATCATGATAGTTTGTGTTGGTGATGTGGACACCAAGGAACTTGAAACTCTCGACCCGCTCCATTACAGCCCTGTTAGTGTGAATGGGGGCATGTTCAGCCCTCCTTTTCCTGTAGTCCACGATCAGCTACTTTGTCTTGCTCACGTTGAGGGAGAAGTTGTTGTCCTGGCACCACAGTGCCAGAGGTGAGTAATTGCTGTTCTGATGTCCAGAAGCTCTTTTCGGTCATAAGAGACGGTAGCAGCAACATTATGTACAAAATAAGTTACAAACAATGTGAAAAAAACATACTAAATATCACAATTGGTTAGGAGCCTGTAAAACGGCAGCCATCCCCTCCAGCGCCATTATCTCGATGGCTAAATCTAGCTTTTAGAAGTTGCTAAACCCAAACAAGTTTGTTCAAGGATGGATTTGAGGAGCAAAGAAAGCTTTGCACCAACCTTCTAGGTCTAACCTTCTCCTTAGCCACTAGAGAACCAGGTAAGCAGACTGAATTACAGTTAGTCATCATATCTGCTCATATCTGATATAAACCTACAGTGCAGCAATGTATGCACCTTTACTGAAATATCCCATGGATAAGAGAGAGCAATATCTAACTCTTCCTCACTCTTACATAACCCAGGGTTATAGAATCTCAGCAGGGCCAGGCTCCATAAACAACAGCCAGTATTAATTCATACACTCAAATCATTATTATTGGTCACATACACATATTTAGCAGATGTTATTGTGGGTGTAGTGAAATGCTTGTAAATGCTCCCTATGCCTTGAAACCTATAGCAGCCAATAGCACACAGACACCTGTTGATGACCACGGCCACATACACAATCTTCCCCCATACTAAACTAAAGGGCACAGATTAGGGAAGGAGTGAATCTAAAAACATGAGCTCCCTCTACTGCAGGTATGGAAGTAGACATTGGAGGTCTAAGAGCGCCATCTTGTGCAAGAGTTTATGAAGACAGGAATGAAGGTGAAATCTACATACATTTACATTTACATTTACATTTTAGTCATTTAGCAGACGCTCTTATCCAGAGCGACATACAGTTAGTGAGTGCATACATTTTCATACTGGCCCCCCGTGGGAAACGAACCCACAACCCTGGCGTTGCAAGCGCCATGCTCTACCAACTGAGCTACAGGGGACTACATACTTCTATTATTTTTTCTATTAGTTATCTATTATTTTATTTTTCATTTATAACATTCAATATAGACACGTGCAGACAAATAATGTCAAATTATTTATCAAGAATAAAAAAGTAATTACAGTACAACAATTTAATTTGTTTTAGGCAAGGAAAGGCACACAGTTCTGAACACATTAAAATAGTATGTCTGTATAATAAAAATATTTTGAAATCCCAATTTGAATGTTTTCATACATGATCAAGTAGCAGCAAGTATCAGGCCAGTATCGGGGGGGGGGGGGGCATACGTTTCAGGTTCAAGCTAAAACAAAGACAGTACAGATTCACACTAAATCAAATTCATGACAAAATATGGACGATGCTGATAGTACTTTGCTAAAAATAGAAAAACTGATAATTTGAGTTCATCTTAGAACAGGGCTGCTAAGTTCATATGTTTTTGCGTGCTTGGCTGCGATGGAGCAGAAGAAACCCACACGTCTCTGGTGAGAGAGGGAGGGAGAGAGGACCTTGGGCATAAACAAAGCTGTCGCGCTAATTCTAACCCTGAACATTGTGTAACATGCTTTAGCACACTGCCGCGTCACACCGCCTATAGCAGTGTGGCGGCCAGACCTGATTTACCGGACCAACCATACCCAAGGCACAGCAATCTCTCCCCCCGTCATAGGACTACGACACACTTCAGGATCATGCATAAGGAACACAAAAGTAGCCTAGACTAAGCAACACAGACTGAGAGACAGAGAGAGAAAGGAAGAGAAAGGTGAAAACCATGAAAACACCAGTTGTAGTCCTTCTTCCAGTGTAATAGTGTATCAATCGAACCTGCCAGGGAACTTGTTATTACAGTATGTGGTGAAGTTAAACTCCTCCACTGTAAACTCAACGTCCTTCCAATTCTTGGCTAGTTTTCTTCCCTCTGGAGTCTCCATGGCAAAGTTCTTGATGGCCAGAATGGGCAGCAGGGCAATCTCCTTATATACCATTTCCATTCCCCATTGCTGTTCAGATATAAATATATAAACAAATATACTGATGTAGATTTCCATATATAAGCATGTTAAAAGACAATAGAATAGTCCTAGTAGCATAAGATAAACAGAATGGCTGTGGATCCAAATTCTACTGGACCTTTCTTCCTGGGGTGTAAAGGTCCCAAAGTTTCTGCGCATGTGCAAGATTCTGTACTTTCGCACAGTCTCTGCTCTACTCCTAGAGAATAGGCTACTCTGGCGAATGGTGCTCGTTTATAAAGTGAGATCAAAGCTGAATCAATTTCTGCAAGATCACATAATGATAGTATTGTACATAACAGAACTGAATATTACACTGAGCGTACACAACATTAGGAACACCTTCATACTATTGAGTTACACCCCCTTTTGGCCCTCAAAACAGCCTCAATTCGTCGGCGCATGGTCCTCTAACCAGTGTGCCTGTCACCTACTACCATACCCCGTTCAAAAGCACTTAAATATTTTTGTCTTGCCCATTCCCCTCTGAATGGCACACACACACACCATGTCCTCAATTGTCTCAAGGCTTAAAAATCCTCTTTAACCTGTCTCCTACCTTTCCGCTACAACTGATTGAAGTGGATTTAACAAGTGACATCAATAAGGGATCGTAACTTTCATCACCTGGTCAGTCTATGTCATGGAAAGAGCCGGTGTTCATAATATTTTGTACGCACAGTATAATAGCATAGTATAACGTTACTGTAAGACATAAAAACACCCCCTCAGGTTTTAGGATGGTCACATTTTTTCTCTCATGTGGCTACAACTCAACAGCGCGCCACTAGGCAAAATATCTGCATACGGATCCGCAGCCTCGGCCTAAGATAAAAGCTAGACATTAATGGCCAACCTCACCTTGGCCACAGGCAGCAACAGCTGATCACAACGGCCTGGCTCCCAGTCCTCAAAAGTCTTCAGAAGTGTCTGCCCATTGGTTTTATAGTACCTCCTGAAAAACACACACACATGCACAGGTTAACTCACTCACACACAAACACACTGATGCAAAAAACACTTCCAATATGTGACAGTGACAGTATCAGGACGACATTAGAGAAACCACAACTTACTCAAAGTCAGGGTTGATGTTGACATGGTGTGCGTTTTCAATGACTTTAATGTCATTGCCGAAGGCCACGAGCACAAAAACAGCCTCGACACGAGAAGCTGAATGCTAGCAGCACTGAAACAACCCTCTTCTTGATCTTCAACTGTTCTTTCAACTGTCTGGTCAACAACGCTTCTGTCTGGAGCTCAGTGATTCTAATAGTGGAGACAGAGAGAGAAAAGATCTAGTGAAAAGAGATTAGAGAATGAGGAATTGGCATGCTCAACTCAAAAGTTTATAGTAACAAAATATTTGGGTGCCGGGTTCAAAAGACATATACTGGGAAAAAGGGGTAGAACATAGAGAAAAATACCAGCCTCACCACCATGAGGAATAGCCTTACCTTCATTTGGAACTCCCTGGGCTCCATCCTCTGCACTTCGCTGATGGCCCTGCCAGTCAATTCCTCCAGACAATTCATTGAGATGTTCCCGACGCAACCTCCCGCCCCCCTGCCTGGGCCACCACAGAGTAAACGCTGTCACTTGCCCGAGCCCGGCCACTGGCTTGCTGTTGTGCGATTCTCATTGGTCAGCAGCCCATAGCGCACCACAAGGTTGCATTCTGGGATGTCCAGGCCCTCCTCGGCTACGCTGGTGGAGATCAGGAGGTTGAGGGAGCCCTGGCGCGAGGTGGCTGATTGTGTCCTTCTGCTCATTCTACAAGCACCACCCACAGAAAACACACAAACCAGAGGTCAGTTGTTTGGTATGACACAGGCATTGGCAACGTTCCAACCCACCTTTCTATACCTCCAAAAGTTCTGACTGTGTTAATGTCAGGTTACCTGGGTCATGTTATTGATGCCGTTGCCAGCGCCGGTCAGAATGGCTGCCCTGATACCAGCGCGCTGCAGGCTGGGTTCTTGGACCCCCAGTCATACAAGCAGTGGGTGCTTTTACGGGTCTTGGAGAAGAGGATGCCTCTGGAGTGCTCACCCTGGGTCAAACTGCTCCGCAGGGTGCTCTGAAGCTCTCCCCCATCTTAGGGTTTTCAAACCGGTCATCGCCTGCCAGTTTCTCCTCAGCTCCACCTCGTTTCTCTGTTGAGGATCAGGACACGACTATCATTGCTCAGAAGTTGAACTTCCTATACTCTTATATTTCCCAAGAATTCACACGCATACAGTATGTGAGAAAGTGGGAGAGATTGTTCCAAGGGAATTGCTGGTCTCACCCTGGTAGAGTTCCAAAGCAGGAAGAAGTCGGTTCCATCCATGGCAGTGGAACTCTTGGTGCTATAGTAGGCCTCTAGGACCCTAAAGGCATCCACCATGCGCACTGTGTCGTTGATGAGCAGGGCATCATTGTACGGACCAGGTGGAGAGCACACTGGGCACAGCAGTCTGTTTTTTTTTTTTTTTGTTTCCTGTCGTCACACCTACACCACGAAACACACATGCAAAATAGGTTTTAATACGGTATTCAAAACTATGGCATTGACTGAGGAAGGTTCCTCTTGTGTGATTTGGTGCATGAAACATAATTCCTATGCTTAGCTTCTGTAATGTGGTATTAATTCATATTATAGAGGATGATGTACCCTTCTTCTCCAGATCACACGTCGGCCTCGTACTCCTGCGTGCCAAACTCCCTGACGGAAGTCAGGGCCCTCTAAGGCATGAAGTCATGGATCAACTGCATCATGAACTTCAGGTGATCCCCAAATGGGTCCTGAGACAATCAACAGGAGTTTGTTGAATTCAAACCAATACAGCTCTCAAGTTCAAAGGCTATATGTTTATAGAACTGAACTGAACTCACCTGAGGTCTTCTGTCAACGATGTCAAACCATTTTCCTGGGTCTGGGTGACCTTTTCTTTCAGCTCAGGGGCATACACTTTAGACGACACAATCACTGAGTCCAGGTGGCAACAAATCTGAAGGCGATAAAATAATGAAATTAGCTAAAAGTAACAGGGTAAACGTAAAGGGTAGATGAGGCTCCTTATTAGGTTTTATCAGGATGAACAGTTTGGAGCTGAAGAAATAGCATGTGAAGACCACCAGAGAGAGAGAGAAACTGACCTGCAGCACATGCCCCACAGCTCCTTTGATGCTCTTGGCTCCCCCTGTCCCAGAGAGGCAGTGAGGCCCAGGATCTGTGGCAGCCGGCTCTCCCCTTCAGCTTCTGCGCCACGTAGTGCCCATGATCTTATTGTAGACACCGTCCTTATGAGTGTGGTGGCACTCATCAATGATCAGCAGAGTGAACTCTATGGTGGGGAGAACGGAACACAATGGTATTTTTGAACTCAATGGAATACAATGGTCTTACTGTTAATATTTCAACATATGGACCAGTCTTTTAGGTGTGTTAGCTTAGGTTTCAGAGCTTTAGTGTGTCGGGTAATTTTAATATTCATATGTGTCAGCATACTGAATTGTAATTGGATGCATTAAAACTGTCATATCATACTGTGCTATGATTGGTTAAGACCACACAGGTGGTGAGGTCATTCTAAAGACGATCATGGCCAGGAAACATGGACATGCCATTTTATAGCTAGTTAATAAAAAAGCTCGTTTATAAATATCCTTCGTCCTGCATTTTTTATTTTGTACCAAAGCATACAAACCAGACATGGTGTCAGATAAAAGGACTAAAATTGGATTTTGCTGGATTTCCCTTCCCCTCGAATGGATTGGGGGTCTACAAATCTACCCGATGCAGGGCTAAGTTCAAACAGATGTGGAGCTGATGTTCACGGGTCCTCTAAAAGGAAAAGAGGAGAAGAGGAAAAGTGCAGCTTACCTGCTCCTCTGGATCGGTGAAAAGGGAGAGAAATTTACAACACATGGACACTTACCGAGGCTGAATCAAAGGTACTGAAAACATACTACGATCGTTTTGAAGCATATGTTTGTGGCCAAGACCAATACAATTTCGCTAGGTACAATTCCATGAGAAAGTACAAGGCGCTAGCGAATCGTTTGAACAGTTTGTCACTGAGCTGCGTCTGCTTGTGAAAGACTGTGATTATGCAAACAAGATGAGATGGTCAGGGACCGTATTGATTTGGAATACACTCACCGCGAGTGAGAGAGAAACTTTTGAATGTTGGATCAGAGTTAACGCTGGACAAAGCTATCGACATAGCCAGATCTCACGAGTTAGCACAGGTTCAATGAAAACCATTTAAAGGCGGCAGCACGAGCGCATCACGGGAACAAGCAGTGCACGCAGTCAGGCGACATCAAAGCACACTCCAGTGCCCGAGAGCAGTTTCAGAACGGAGACAGACAAACTCCAAAAAAAGAGCGAACACAGACTCCAAACGCCCCAAAACATTGGATATTGTGGAGACAAAGTGCATGGCGAACAGGGGAATTGCCCAGCTAAAGGCAAACAGTGTACTAATGTGGAAAATGGAATCACTTTGAAAAATTGTGCAGAGTTTACCGTGGAAAAACAGTACATACAGTGAGTGAAGATGAAATGTCAATCAAAGAGTCAAATGCTGATGAACTGTTATTGATTCAGTGACACAGAAAAGTCAGATATCAGAGACAGAGCAACCCTTTTGCTTGACTTGAGATAGGAAGACAAGGCACAGAGCTAAAATTAAAACTAGACATTGGTACACAAGTAAAACATTATTCCTCTGAGTAAGTACAGAAGCTTGACATCTGAGTGTGAGCTAAAAGCCCACCACACGCAGACTGACGGGTTATGGTGGTGAACAGCTCCTATAAAAGGCACATCACTCTCAAATGCAAAACAAGGAAAGGGACATGATGTTGGGATTTTTACTTTTTTTGACACTCGAGCACCTGCAGTGCTAGGTCTTAAAGCATGTTTAGACCAGGGACCTTATCAAGCTAGTTTTTATCAGTGACAGCACCAGTGAGATAGAGAATGTCATGGAGGAGTTTGCGATGTTTTACAGGAATAGGACTATTCCCAGGAGAATGTACCATTCACTTGACCCAGACGAACCCCTGTGGTCTACCCACCGAGAAAGATTCCACTTGCTCTCCGCGCCCGTCTGAAGAAAGAGTTGGAGAGCATGGAGCAATCTGACATCGTCCCCAAGGGTTTACAGAACCGCGGTTTTGGGTCAACGCGTTAGTGGTGGGGGAGAAACCACGCACATGGCCAAGCTCAGAGTATGTCTCGACCCAAGAAGACTTGAACAAGGCTATCAAACGCCCCATTACCCCTTAACCGACGCTAGATGGCATCACACACAAGCTAGCGGGCGCACGCTACTTCAGTGTCATGTCCAGATCAGGCTACTGGGCTATCAAGCTCACAGAAGAGTCCATCTAAGCCTCACAACGTTCAACACACCATTTGGACGCTACAGGTTCCCGTCGCCTGCCTTTTGGGATTATCTCAGCCCAAGACGAGTTTCAGCGAAAAGATCGACGAGGTGTACGAAGGCCTCGACGGAGTCGTGGCAAATTTTGGACGACATCCTTGTCTATGGTCGAACCAAAGAGGAACACGACAGAAACCTCAGCGCGATGCTGCAAAGGTCCCGCGAGAGAGGAGTCCGGCTCAACCCCGAGAAGAGCACAGTCGGGCTACAGAGGTCAGCTACTTCGGACATCTTCTCACAGCGAATGGGAATCAAGCCAGATCCGCAGAAGATCTCAGCCATAAAGGAAAATGGAGCCACCAAAGAACCGCGCAGAGCTGGAAACAGTGCTTGGCATGGTCAACTACTTAGCCAAGTTCGCACCCAGCCTCTCCAATGCTAATGCACCCCTGCGTCAGCTGCTAAAGCAGTCCAGTTGAGTTTCCTCTGGGACAACCAACACGACATCGCTTTCCAGAAAGTGAAAGACCTTGATCACGAGAGAACCAGGACCAATCCTTGCCTACTACGACCCCAACAAAGAGCTCAGACTCCAGGTGGACGCGTCGAAGTATGGACTAGGGGCAGTGCTACTGCAAGAAGGAAAAACCCATCGGCTACGCTTCCAAAATCTCTCACAGACTGTGAAATCAACTACGCTCAAATCGAAAAGGAGCTGTATGCCATTCTGTTCGGATGTAAGCGTTTCCATCAGTATGTCTATGGACGACAAGTCATTGTGGAATCAGACCACAAGCCCCTTGAGTCAATCATGAGGAAACCGTTAGCCGCAGCCCCCGCCAAGGCTACAGAGAATGATCCTTCAACTACAAAAATACGACTTCACAATCACTCACCGTACCAGGCAAAGACATCCCTGTCGCAGACACACTCTCCAGGAAGTTTCTTACCTACAAGGACAGCAGCCTCAGTGAAGGCATGGACATGCAGGTGCACACTGTGTACAGCAACTTACCAGTTAGTGACACAAAACTGAAGGAGATCCGAGCAGAAACCGAAAAAGACACACCAAACTCACACAGCTGAGGAAAGTCATACAGTCAGGATGGGCCTGAGGCGAGGAGAAAATGCCCTCAGAGCGTCTCAGAGTTCTGGAACCATCGTGACGAACTATCAAGATCAACGGAATCATTTTCAAAGGAGAGAAAATCATCATTCCTACCAGTCTCAGAGAAAAGAGATTTTGACAAAGATCCATGTCTGGACACATGGGCATGGAAAAGTGGCAAACAGAGAGCACGGGACATTTGTTTTGGCCCGGAATGTGCAAACAAATAGAGGACATGGTTGGTAAATGCCCCACCTGTCTTGAACGACGCCCCTCGAACACCAAGAGCCAATGTTTACCTCACCGTATCCCAGACCGACCCCTGGGCAGGTCGTGGCAAACCGATCTGTTCACGTGGAACAACGAGGACTACATTATAACAGTGGACTACTACAGCAGATACTTCGAACTCGACAAGCTTCACAGCACCACATCTGCAGCTGTGATACACAAGCTGAAAGCAGCCTTTGCCAGGCATGGCATTGTAGAGACTTTAATATCTGACAATGGGCCCCTGTTACAAATCAAATGAGTTTGAATCCTTCACAAAAGCATGGGAGTTCACACACGTCACCCACAAGCCCACATTACCCTCAAGTAATGGCCTTGCTGAAAAATCTGTGCAGATCGCTAAATCACTCATGGACAAAGCAAAAGCAGACAAGAGAGGACCCCTACCTCAGTCTCCTTGAATACCGCAAACACTCCAAGTTGACAACTTCAAATCACCAGCCCAGCTGTTGATGAGCCGCAGACTTCGCTCAATCCTTCCAGCACCAACCAGCAGCTGCAACCTGAGGTCGTCAGCTACAAGGAAAGTGCATGCAAAACGTGCACAGAGGCAACAACAGCAAAGGCGATACTACGACAGGTCAGCCAGACCACTGCCACCACTGAACGACGGAGAGTCAGTTAGAATCCAGGAGCATGGCTACTGGAAGCCAGCAGTCGTCATCCAACCAGCTGACACTGAACGTTCATATCACTTGTTCGCACCGCAGAAGGAGCGGTGTACCGCCGCAATCGTCGTCACCTACTGAACACAAAAGAACAACACACTGACGAGACGAGATGAACTGTTCCCCTGAAAGAGAACGGGGTGGACTAAACACAGACACACACAACATACACCATACTTACCTGCAACACCCACAAGAACTGTTGACTGACACAGAAGCATGCTCAGCTTCATATCACACAAGGTCAGGAAGAGAGGTCAAGCCTAGAGCTGTCCTAGACCTGTGGAAATGTCAAAGGGTGTAGGCGGATCGCTGCCCTAAAAGAGTTTCCCCAGACTGTAAACTTGTTATTGAAAGTTAACTTGAAATGCTTTGGTATTGTATTTGGTTTGATATGTTGAGATGTCATTGCTACAGTGAAAAGCTGAGTTGCTGAGAAATATTTGTTCTAAAAGTAACAGTATGCTGAATCATTGTCTGTCTGTTATGTTGATGCAGTTGGTGCAGTTTAAATGGTTACTTACCTCGAGTTCAAACTACAGAGCATATATTCAATAGAAACGCTTTTATTGTTCTACAAATTTTTTCTTTTTTTTAAAAGAAGGGGGATGTAATATTCATATGTGTCAGCATACTGAATTGTAATTGGATGCATTATACTGTCATATCATACTGGTGCTATGATTGGGTAAGACCACCCAGGTGGTGAGGTCATTCTAAAGACTATCATGGCCAGAGACACATGAAACATGCCAGTTATAGCTAGTTAATAAAGAGCTACGTTTATAAATATCCTGTCGTCCTGCATTTTATTATTTAGTACAAAGCATACAAAACAAGACAGTATAGATACTCTTTATCATGTAGTGTCTGTCAATTGGGATTGATACCAAGGGCTACTGGTGCACAGTGGAACAAAGCCTGGGAGCCATCTTAGAACAACCTAACTTCTGAATAATCAGTAACAAGTAGCGTGTACTACACATACCTCACAGCAATACCATGATTCAATATGTGGTAGGCAGCAGAGCAGCCACTTACGTGAGAGCTCGACATGTTTTCCCTCCTCCTGGTTGGTCAGGGCATTCTCCAGTATCTGTGCTGTACAGATGACCAGGTCAGAGTTCTTGACCTCGCAGCCAAAGAAGTCCTTCTGGTCACAGTCCCCACTGATAGACACCATGGCTATAGTCCCGACCCAGGTAGGGTTTGAACTCTTTGTTGTAGTGCTGGTCTACCAAATGAACCTGGAAGACATAATGTCAACTGTAACGTCCCGTTGTTTAGATTGCTTATGTTTTTTAAGAACTGATGTCGGGGGCGTTCGTATACTTTATTCATCTTTACTCAGAAGTATGCTGGCATTACTGGTTCACATGGTATATCACTCCCACTATCCCGGCTACTGTAAAACATGGACCTGGAATCCACGACGAATACACGGACTGGATTATGGCAAATGTTCACTACATTACATCACATTTACATTTGCATCATTTAGCAGAACACTCTTATCCAGAGCAACTTACAAATACAACAACAGTAGCCATGGTTTCCAGGGGAAAAGAGGGGAAAACTTTTATTTTCTGGTTTGTATAGGATTAAAAACCCACACCCATACAAAAGGTTAAAGACTACCTAATAAAATTACACAGGTGGGTCAGTTATCTGGCCAGTTCTCTGAAACAAACTGCTAAATAGGTCCAAAGCTCTATTAACCCCTCCCTACCTACCTTTTGACCAGCACGGCCACCTTAGCTCCAGGGTTATTCTCCAGATGTTTTTTGGCCCACATATACAGCAGCCGGGTCTTTCCTCCTCCGGTGGGCAGCCAGATGATGATGTTCTCCCCTCGGAGAGCCCTCTGAACCACCTCCTCCTGGTACCCATACAGCCCAAAGTCTGCCATCCTACTGGTCTATTGGTCCACACACACAACACCTACTCCTTGTCCTTAGAAATAAAAACACTCATTAGACAAAAGGCCCACAAGGCTATTTTTAAAACTGAAAATGCAATACAAAACCCCGCAAATGTCCTGCTACATGTCCTTACAGTTAAAATACTTACTACTATTACCATTTGTGGCAATCAGTATAGATGAAGTCAAGCCCTTTTAAAACTCAAGGGTCACCAAGTGTTTCTGAAGCAGCTCTATGTTTGGATCAGCAGCGAAAGTCCCTGGTCCCTGTGGCCAAAGGTTTGAGTACGAGGGGTTTTCACTGACGAAGATCCACCAGACTGACACCCAAATAGAAAACGAAACCAAAAGGCACATTTCCTGGGAAGAGGGTCCTATTCAAGGGAGTTCTTGAGGTCCAACAAAGTATGTCTAAGTAAAGAAAGTGACACAAGGGAAAGAATTTCGGGAAATTTGAAGGAGTTGTAGGGATTTATAATGTGTAAGGAGCCGTTTCAGTCATGGAATTCTAGTACCCGTAGGGCTTTCCAACTGCCAGATTGTGTTAATCTAGTGGATTGTATGAGAGGGACTGGGATTTTGTAACTATCTGCAGTCCAGAAAAAACCGTGAGGGTTCTGTCGGCCCTGACAAAGCACCCAGAGCCTTAAAGGCCCCATTCTTTACCAGCTGTGAACATCAGGAAAACAAAACTGGCAAGTCACATTGGGAAAACACCTTAAAAAGCATGTCTGAATGGCATTTAACTGCTGAAATTACTTCATGACACACCTACTAAACAACACTGCATGGTACTGGGAACATAAAACACATACGTAACTAGTGCCATCTTATAAAAATATTAGCACAGACATTTTTTATTAAAAACTTTATTTTCATGAACAAGTAAAAAACAAGTAAAGAGCTCTTCAAACCATAATAACTTAAAGAAACTGGAGCAGTCTTAATATTTTAAAAAACTTTTACTCACCCCAGTATTTTTCAGAATTTTAATGCAGCATACATAGGTAGATTGAGAGATACATAACGACAACCCTGATAAAAAAAACATGACCCTCACTTGATTGCTCAAAGCAGTCATGAGTTCAGTGAAATACTCAACCACCCAAACACAGACCAGTCATTTCCCCAAAACGTTTTACAAAAATAGCAGAGAACCAAAGGCATCTCAAGAGGCAGAACAATAATCAGACACTTGAACCATGGGAAAAAGAAAAATTTTTAA